CCATACATCAATGGAAAGCTTATTTATTCAGCTTTAAGATGATTTATAAATCTCAATTTTAAAAAAATTGACCCTTATGACTGGTTTTGTGGTCCAGGTTCACATATTTTGTTATGATTAATTGTATCAATAACAGCCATAATATAAAGTAATTTGAAAAATTCTAATATAAATGTAAGCAATAACACCAATGAAAATATCAGAATAGTTATTATTATAAAGTATTTTGTTTTTATATTAGGAAAAAAATAATTATATTCACTAGTATTTTTATATTTAATAGTTACTACAGTGAGTTTTTTCTGCAACAGTTTTAGAAGACTGCTTCTCCATGTGTATGATTACTGCCAGAATACAACCAATATCACAGCTAGAGTACATAAAGCAGATGTGCTTTGTGTGAGTTGTCATGACACATCAAGTCTGTGCAAGAGCAAACTGAGGAAAGTGCACTCACTCTATACCAGATAAACATGGTCTTGAAAGCATTCTCATTGGAGCAGGAACCACAGGCCATGGTTTGTACTCGCGTCATCCCGCTGGGGGCAATCTGATGTTGAAGAAAGTGTCATTTACAGCACTCCACACTACAATAAATAGCAAGCCACTTCCGGCCAATGTGGAAAAGAGTGCATTTATTTATGATATCTGCAAAGCATGTTATCAAGATTACGAGAATCACAATGAGCTGTTTTATAACTGCTGAACACAAGCTGTTCTTCAAGTGAAAGGTTGTAGTTGCCTCATTATTGGGGCAGATCCAGACAATCTGTAATCCTTGTACAAAACGTAGTCCTTACTCTGTACTTGTGAAGCGTTTCAGCAAAATCAGCAATAACTCACAGAGACATATGCTGTAATCAGCTTTCCTGGATGTTTTGAAATATGAACACAGATTGATTTTTCAAGAGATGCTTTACTTGTGATTTTTGCAATTCAACAACACTCACCGATAGCAGGCTCTCGATCAGTTTGTCTGGAAAGTTCTCAGGTGGCAGAATACCAAGCGCCGGCCGGTTGACAAATGCACTCTGTGAAAACAAAGATTCACACAAAAAGGATTCACTAAAGGAAACAGTGACCCTAAGAATTTCATTATTTCATAAAAATGTTTTAAGTGCCCGAGAAAAGTATTTCTTTCCTATATTTATCCATTTTCTTTGAAACAGGAAGTTTAGGTCAAACATGCATGTCCTTCTTTATAAAAGCCAACAGGCTTCAGTAATGTCACAGAGATGAACATGATTGGCTACTTGCTACTTTGCTCGTCAGTTACAGGTGGTATAAGGGGGCGGGACATTCTCATTCTGGAAAGATTTTAATTTAAAAAAAAATCTGTGTAGTGAAGGACGAGCAATCAATATTTTTGGTCTGTTTTCCATTTGAAAAAGACTACTAATATTAAGTGTGTATACACTACTATTCAAGAGTTTGGACTTAGTAAGATTTTGTTTTGATTCTTGAAAGAAACTTTTACTTTAGTAAGGTTGGATTAAATTGATCAAAAGTGACTTATAATGTTACAAAATAACTATTTCACATAACTGTTTTTTTTTTAACTGTCCATTAAAAAAGAAATCCTGAAAAAAATGCATCATGGCTTCTACAAAAATAGTAAGCATATTAAACTGTTTTGTACATTGATAATAATATGAAATATTTCTTGAGCAGCAAATCAGCATATTAGAATGATTTCTGAAGGATCTTGTGCCACTGAAGACTGGAGTAATGATGCTGAAAATTCAGCTTTGCCATCATAAGGAATAAATCACATTTAAAATATATTAAAACTGATATTTAAAATCGACATAACTTTTACTTTTACTTTTAGTCATTTAGCAGATGCTTTTATCCAAAGCGACTTACAAATAAGAAAAAGTAATTAAAACTAAAAGCTAAAACTCTATAAATACTATATATATATACACATTTAAGAAAAGAAAATAAATTCAATAAAAATGACAAATGCATACAACATTTCAAAACTAAACATTTAAATGAAAACAAAATAAATAAAGTATAATAATGATTCTAACATAACACTAAGCCAAACACCAAAAAA